GTTGTGCTTTCCAAAAGAAAGTTAATCTATTCTATTTTCAGACATTGATTTCGTTGTTCTTTAAGGTCACTAGCATATTATAAATTCTCCAGTACTGCTTTATGCCTCACATTCAACTTTGGTGACATAGAATAAATTTCAGAATGAAGCTTTTAGAATAAATTTCAGAATTAAGCTTTTTAAAAAGATTCCTTAACACCAGAAAAGTGCAACTTGCCATTAAATTCAGGAGCTTTGCTGCAGTAATATAATAGTATGTTCTATCTAAATGAAAGAATATCTCCTGGCATGCCATCAGTGAGGAATGATAGTTTTTTGATCATTTCAGTAATCATAATTAAATGTTCATGAAACTAAATGAATTAGATGTCATATATTAACTGGTCACCTTAACTGAGTAAAATTTATGTTAATTTAATTTATTAAGATCTGTTTGCTTCATCCCAATTAACTAAACTTAATGGGCTAAGGAAATAGAATAAGGGACTGGTGTTCCGATTTAATTTGATTAGATGGGTTTATTGTTACGGTAGAAGGGAGGAAGAGAACTCATGTTTGCATGGATATCATTTTCTCCATCAAAGATAAATTCCTTTCTCTTCCCCCTTCCAGCTATTTTATTCACAAGTCAAAGTTGTTATCTGATATAATTTGCAAAATCATTTTTGTGTTTTATGCAGAACTGAATGGTAATAGAATCTAGGGACTGTTGTATATTTATTATTGTAGAAGGGAATAGCTCCCAATATGGATCATCATTACCTTCATGAGGCATTGTACCAACATAAACAAAAATATATATTTCTGTCCCAGAACGGTGCCATCAGAAGATGTTGCACAAGTAGAATACACATAGAGAGGGAAGCTCAAAGAAATAATGAGGCATAGCATGTATCATAAGCAATTGCTTGAATTAAACCATACTTTCCATTTCTCTCTAAATCATTATAACTATGAACCAAAACATTAGGAGTCACAGCAACCCATCTTATGAGAACATCAAAATACTTGGCTAGCCAGCCTTCTAAGTAATAATGAATTGCTTGGCAATTAAAATAAATTTTGCAATGAAGACAACTTGAATATTGATTTCACTCCATGTTTTGCTTCTGGGCATATCCTTGTAATGTTTCTCATTTCCATAGGCAGTATGCCAGAAATGATCCCTAAGATTGATGCTAGTGAATGCATTTTTTATTGTAATTAGCATACTCAGAAAATATCACTCATTATATAGTTGCTAATCTTTTCCTAGGCATTGGTTCCATTTCTTTAAGTATCCCTGAAATATCATTGTGGCTAAACTGCTATCATGCTTCTGTGGCACAGGTGGTTGGTGTTTTTGTTTGTTTTCTGTTTTAATATGAAGAAAAGGGGTTTAAGTTCTAAAACATTCCTTTAATTGTTTTACAGTATTGCTTGCTTAGCTATTTTTATAAGTTCTGCTGATATAATTGTCTTTTCATGAAATCATCATCTGCCACAGTAGCCCAAGCTATGGGCTTTTAACAGGTGGACTCTCTTAACCTCAGTGCCTTGTTCATCGCAACACATGTAGTTTAAGTATATTTGCTTCATCATTCTCATTGTTCCTTTCCTTGTAATAGTGAGTCATGCTAGTTAATCAGGGTGGCAGACTAGATAGCTGACTAGGCAGCTTACTTAAAGGGGTTCCAGCCATAGCAGTCTGGGCCAACACACTTCTTCGATGTTGAGACTCCTATATTCACTCCAATGATGTGTTTAAACAATAAATAAAATTTAACTCCATGTTTGTTTAATCCTGTGAGCTGGATGTGTATGGTCTCAGGAAAAGACATATACAAATACATGCACAAACTAAGATCTCAGGTCATCTATAAATGTATTAGGGTATGGCAATGGTGGCAGCATGTGAATGAAACAGTGTTGAAGTTCCAAAAGCAATAACTCTGTGAAATGTCTGAGTGCGGGTTACTTATTAAAGAGGACTGCGCTACCCTGTCTGGTGGTGTCTCTGTGAGTGAACGAGAGGACCAGGTGCTCGAAAGAGTCAGGGTTCTCTACATATTTTAGAAGAGGCAAGACAGGTGGTGAACTGTGACTAGCTGACCTACCTGTAACCCTGAAGCTATGTGACACCTTTCCAATAACATCTATGTGAAGGGTGGTAGAACCTATGTGACAGAAGTTGTGAAGGGTAGTTGAAACTAATCTGGATAATAAAACACTAAATACGGAACCAGAATTTTTAAAAATACCCCACAACTCCAAATAGAAAAAGAAGCAGCAGCAGCAAAAGCCTTGCTAATAGGCTTGCCAAGTCCCCCCGGGGGGGCGGGGAAACCCCCGCCCCAGAGGCCTGTTCCCCACCGCTGGCGGGTCGGGCCCCGGGGGGAACCCCACCCCGATGTGCACGTCACCCGGAAGTGACGCAACCACGCCAGGCACGCTGGGGGCGGGGCCACGGTCACCCGAGGGAAAACTCTATGGCGCACTCCAGCCGCCAGCCGGGAGTCCCCCGCTGCGACTCAAAAAGCACTCAAAAAGCACCCTACTTGCTAACATTAGTAAAACAACCATTAACACAAGCACAAAACGAGAGCACACAAACCAGTCCTAAAGAGGCTATCACATCATCTCAGCACAGCACAAAGGTGGGGTTTCCAACATCCAGGTGGGGCCTTGAGATGTTCCAGAATTACAACTTATCTCCAGACTACAGAGATCAGTTACCCTGGAGAAAATGGCTGCTTTGCAAGGTGGCTCTGTGGTATTATACCCCGCCCTCACCAATCTCCACCCCCAGTTCTCCATGAATTTTCCAATGTGGACTTGGCAACCCTAACTAGAGTTGCCAGCCTCCAAGTGGGGCCTGGAGTTCCTGTGGAATTACAACTGAACTACAGACTACAGAGGTCAGATCCCCAGGAGAAAATGACAGCTTTGGAAAGTGGACTTGATGGCATTATGCCCTGCTGATGTCCCTCCCCTCCCCAAACTCTGCCTTCCCCAGAGTCCACTGTGAAATCCCCCAGGAATTTCCCAGCCTGCAGTTGGCAAGCCTGAGCAATAAGCAGGCACAGTCATCTCCTACTCCAGAGAGGCCAAAAGAATTCAGGGAAATGGCTAATTCTAGCCTAGCCTTAATCTTTGAGAGACCTTATTGTCTCAGACTTCTTCAAGGCTCTGTGTATTGGTAAGGGAGTGTTTTTCTGACAGACTTGGTGCTTTTGGGGGTATTCTGTTCTGGGGGAGCAATCTGTGACTTTGCAGGTGGGGGGTTGGGAGTTCTCTGTTTCACATTGCCTTGGAGGAAGTGTGCCATTTTCCCCCATACAAAACAATGGAAACAAAGAAAGTTGAAGGAGTTATGAGAGACGGAGGATTTGGTGCCCTGCCATTTTCCTGCTATTTGCTCTACAAACAGCTCCAGACCATTGGAAAAATCTCCTATCCCCCAGGGTTGCCAGCCCCAGGCCCCTGCAGGGGTTCCCCCACTCTTGTGGGCTTTGATCCACCATGGGCCAGTTGGCCGGTGGGGAAAACCCCACTCCAAACATGGACATTGTTGTGCGACATCCCTGTCATGATTACATCACTTCCAGGTGATGTCATTGCCCTGGGGACATCACACGGTCGCGCTCTGGGTTTGAGGCAAAATCTATGGCTTTGAAGGCAAAAAAAACATAGTGTTGAGTACAATGTTGCCGATGCGATGATGTAACCCGGAAGTGATGTAATGGCATCGGGGACAACATACGCGGCATCCCACCCACCCCTGGAACACCCCTAAATTCCCCCACTGCTGTGGTGAGGGCTACCCTATATCCCTTGTTAGGAACAATGGAGTCTTGGATGTCTGGAGGCACCTTGTTCAGGGTCTGTAAAGTTGGACCTCTTTGTCCTATCCCCTTCAATTTTGGGGGGGGGGCTTTATGGGAGATGGGAGCCTTGGTTTTCTTTGCAAATTTGGTGTCATTTGCTTTAAAAATACTTAAACTAGACCCCTAGACAGATCCCCTATTCCCTCTTAGGACAATGGACCCACTAATTTAGAAATGCAAAGGAAAAAAAGAAAAAAAACACAAACTGTCATAGGTATGCCCCCCAAAATTGG